GGCGCTGAGGTTAGTGAGGATGGCGTTTAGCCTGGCTCTCAAGGTCATGAGGAATTACATTTATTATCAGTTCCAACAGCGTACACAGGTGTGTGTAGCTTTGCAGTTCTTTTGAGGTTTACTTCATATAAAAGAATCTAATTTACTCAGACTGGAACTGCCTCCCTTCTCCAAAGAGAGGAATTTTGAAAAAGAAAGAGGCCCACGCTCTGGTGAAGTGGTGCCCAACACCATCTTCCTTTGCTCACTTCTCACTCACTCTTGGGCTCATTCCAGTTATTGTAGGGACAGTTTTGGCCTCAAGTTCCTTGACCTCTCACCAGTATTTGATACTGTTACCCACACCTTTCTCTCAGTGGCTTTTGTGGTTCCACATTTTCCTAGTTGTCCTTTTACACTTCCAGTTGTTCTTTCTCTGGTCTGAATGAACTCGTCCTCCTTGGTGTGGCTATTAAAGACTAGAGGTCCTCAGGCTCGAATCTAGGCCATTTTCTCTTGTCAGCCCTTATCTTCTACCTATGTGGTGTCATCCTTTCCCATGACTTCGTTTTACTCTTTAGGTCCCAGTGGCTCTCTGTCCAAGTTAGGATCGGTTGGGCTGTGCTGCAGTAACAGCCACTGCCAAATCCCAATGATCGGATGAGTAAAGTTTTTAATCTCCAATGTGCAATGTCTTCTGTAGGTTTGGCAGCCAATTATAAGTGATGACCCAGACATTCAGGCAGTTTCTGTCTGTGGCTCTGGCATTCAACACGTGGCCTTCACCATGGCACCTGGCAATGAGACAGAGAGCACAGAGCACCATACCCACTCTCCTGGGCTTGCATGTACAGCCTTTTGGCTTTAAATATAGTTCCAACTGAAATGCTTGCAAAGCTGAAAAAGGGCATTTTCCTGTGTCCCTGGGAAGAGGAAAGTGAACTAGGAGTTGGTGAACTGCTAGCATTGTCTCAGACACATTCCCACCATAAGTCTCACTTAGACCTCTCTTTGGAACTTTAGCCCTTACCTCAACTGCTCATGTGGCATCTTTGTACATGAGGATGCATCAGAAATAACTCACATTTAGCATATCCCAAATGAGCTCCTGACACTCATAAAACTCATCCTTGCTCGGAATCCCCCATCTCATTGAATAACCGAGAGAATAGTTGTCTGTACCCCCAAAACAGACCCATTCTTGACTTCCCCATTTTCCATTTCCATTTCCATGTCCTGTCTATGACCACATCTGTTACATTACTTCCTGCTACTTCTGCCTGTCCTCAGGGCAGCCCCAGTCCACGCTGCTGTCCTCTCTCACCTGTCCTCCACTGTGGTTTCCTAACTGTCCTGTCACTTCCACTCTGGCTCGGGGCCACTCCATTCTAGCCAGTCTATTCTCTACAATGCAGCTAGAGGAATCTGATCAACATCTCATTTCCTGCTTAAAACCCTTTAACAATTCCCATCACTCTTATAATGGGCCAAGATAGCCCACAGTCCCTGTTCAAGCCCCACCAGGACTGAGCCTGCTAACTTTCCGGCTCCTTTCCCATCCCTTCCTCAACCCTCAGCAACCCCAGCATTGGCTTCTCGTCTTCCTGAAGCTCCTGCCATGTCCTGTGAGGGGCGTTCCTGATGCCTCATTCAGGTCCTCCTGTCTCTTGCTCTCACAGCCCTCTTGCATCTTTCCTTCCTAGCCCTTATCAGTTTGAACTGCATGTTTATTTGTTTGATTATTTAATCCAGTAATTTCATTTCCTGCGTTATTATCTGCATAAGGGCAGAGACCATTTCTGGCTTATTCGCTTTGCACATCATCTTGCATCGTGCCTAGTACACAGCAGATACTCAAGTAAATATTTGTTGGATGAACCTTTTTTCACTGTAAATATTACAGACTTGCTATGTTAAGAATCAAGTGAGTTAAAATACAATTCTTGTTAGGGTAGAGAGCTAGTGCACATAGGTGTGAGAAAGATTTCTCCAGACAAAGATTAGGATAAAAAGTATAAAATGTGTTTTATCTTCTTATAAGAAATAAGAGAGTAAAAGAGAATAAGGAAAGAGTGAGAGAGAAGAGAGCAGGGAAATAGTGTGGCATTCCAAAGAAAGAGAAGAGGGATGCCAGCACTGAGACCAGGCGGCTTGCAGCTTTCTGGGGATAGAAAGGAGGAGAAATAGTGAATGTGGGCAAATTAACAGTGTGCCGTGAAACTGCTGTATCTCTCCGCTGTCTTCTTAGGCCACTACAAAAGGGACAGACAAACTTCTCATTGGTGGGGAGGTTCTGCCCTCAAGATATGGCTGAGGCCTGAAACTCGCACCCTGCTGCTCTTTTCAGGAACTCCAAGGCTGTAAAACATGTTCTCAGAAGCAGTGAGCTGGTGAATGTAAAGAGAAAGAGCTACACTTCATCTCTATCTGCTATTTTCAGAGGTTGTGAAAACAGATGGGGAAAAGGAACAGAGAGCGGAGAGTGAGCTCTTAGGATTTTAGCCCTGCCTAAGAAACTATGAGTTAATAACTTTTCTATCATTCTGCTGTTAAGACCAAACCATCCTTTCACTTCCTACTTTCTATTTAAGAGCGAAAAAGACAACATACAAGCATAACATGCCCCAGTGGAGTTGAACAGGAGTTGAACAGAAGTTGAAGGTTATGGGTCAGAGCCAGCAGAGGTCTGGCTGGAAGGTCCTGCCATACACCACCCACCACTAGCAAGCAAAGCACAAGCCCCACCCCCCCCAGTTTCTTCCTGGGGAACTGAAAGAATTGATATTTCTTGGGGACAGGAACTCTGTCTGCCTTCGTTTGTCCTGTGTGGTTCTAGCATACTGCTCTGTACCTGAAAAATGCTTCTTAATACTGAAGAACTACTTCATGAATCTACGGGTATATAAATAAAAACCCTTTCTAAAAAAGAAAGAAAGGTGTGCTAGTTGGAGGAGGTCAGCATAGGTGTGGGCTCTTGACCTCTCCTGTCTCCCAGGACCACTTGGGGAAATACAAATAGTGTTCCCCTTCTGCTCCATCATGTCTGTTCCTTGTGTCAGAGTGCAGTGTCCATCTCCCTTCTCAGGTCTTCCAGAGGCGGAACACCGGCCAGCTGGATTTCTTCAAACGTTGGCGGAGCTACGTGGAAGGCTTTGGGGACCCCATGAAGGAGTTCTGGCTTGGTATGATTTCTGAGAATCCAGGAGGGCTGGGGTGTGGAGGGGTGACTTTGCCCTTGACAAGTGGGGCAGGCAGCTTAAAGGAGCTCCCCACATTCAGGGAGAGGTCCATGTAACACGGAACTGACCAGCCTGCCCAACAGGGGGCTGGTGGGCAAGTCTTGCACTCTGGACTTGCCAGAAGGTCGGACGGTCCCTGGGAGTTTTACATATCTGGTATCCATGCTCTACAGGATCTGCCTACAGCCTTAATTTCTCAGAAACCATAATAGAAAAACAGCTGATGGACTGGGATTCTGGGCTGTGACTGGGAGGCTATTCTAGTAGTCCCTAAAGCCCTGCCAGGGAGGCCAGGCTCTGTGGGCAGTGTTTCCTTCTTCCCCTCCGCTCTCTTCTGGAGCAGCTGTTCACAGACAGTGAAATAGCCAAAAGCATCAATTGGGAGATGAAGAATTAAAAAATCATAATCTGGATGTGCAGTGTCTAATAGAGCAGATGATATTTGTGGTTTGCTCGGGACAGAATCTCCAGAGACCTTAGAGTAAGTGGCTGGCCGGCTCTTCTACTTGGTGAGTTAAACGGATGATCAATAGAACGGCTTCTGTTTTAGAGCTATGGAGATAAGGGAGGCAGAGTAAGGTGGGGATTACCCTGCCCTCCTCACCACTCCTTTCCATCACCCGGGCATGGTTTGCACACACCTTAGCATGACTGTGCCAAAGAAATCATAGAATAGGAGCCACCTCAAAGAGACAGTGTTGAGAAGGCCCCTTATTAACAGAGAAGGAAAAGGCTAAGGTGACCTTTGGTCCTGAAAGTCTCAGACGCAAATGGTGAGCGCTTGCTTGCCCACATGGGTCGATTGGTTATTGAAATGCCATTTATTCTTTTTAGGACTTGACAAGCTACACAATCTCACCATGGGCACTGCTACCCGGTATGAGGTGAGAGTGGACTTACAGACTGCCAATGAGTCTGCCTATGCCATCTATGATTTCTTCCAAGTGGCCTCCAGCAAGGAGCGGTATAAGCTGACAGTTGGAAAATACAGAGGCACGGCAGGTGAGAAAAATGTCTCCTTACTGCCTGGAAAGGAAACATTTGCCGTCTGTTGTCTGAGGATTGATTTGCCGTGGCCCTGGCAGGTAGAATATTGTTCTCCGGAGGTGAATTATCCTCATGGACAATTGAGGGCCTGCTCCCTGAGGGGGTTGGGGGTGAACAAACTAAAATTAGAACTTCCCGGAAGAAAAACCCTTTTCTTATACTCCCCCAATTCAGGGTGTTGTACACAGGTGGATGAACCCACATTCTGAGCAGTTTCATGGTGCCTTTCATTTGGCTGTAACAATGTGGCAGTCATCTTTGTCTACATAGCAGC